TAGCATGAGATTAAACATAAGTAAATTGACAATTTCAGTCGTACCATCTGGATGGCAACACCAAAACAGGGGGGTTCAAGTATTTTACATAGAATCTTTAAAAAAAGTAAGAAAAAAACTTTTTATTACAATTCCACGTAAAACACATGAGCCCCCCTGTTTTGGTGTTGCCATTCATATGGTAGTACTTTATTTGACAATTTACTTATGTTCAATCTTGTGCTGGTAAAAAAATATATAGGAGAAAATTAACTTTTGAACGTTATTATTTTTTATGTGGTTTTCCTAGTGCAAAAACTGAATATAAACAGACAGAAAAATATTTATTAGTTTTCATTAGACATTTTTTATTGGGTAGTCTCATACTTAAATGTTTCATTAAAATGCTCTGTAGATATACCAAAGTTTGTAAAATAGTTAGAGCAATGATGCGTAATTATAGCATCAGCAAAATAACCGAATGACACTTGGTAACATTGTAGTAAGAGCGATTCCCGACCTTTCGTCTATTTAAACTAATGCTCCTCATTCATCGAAAACCAAGACATAGGCTGATGAGAAAAAAATTTTTCTTTAGCTTGTTAACCGAACCAAACTACAATAAACAGAAAAGTTACACCTACCGTACATTACACAATTTTTGACAGCCGAAATATACTGGCTGGTTTAAAACACAGAACTATTTTTTTTTTTAAATTACAAAACTTTTAAAAAATTATTTTCAACAATAATTGCATGTTTTAAATCAACGCGTACGTTTCAGCTGGCAAAAATTGCGTGATATGAATTAGGTATAACCATTTTGTTTACTGTAGTTTGGTTTGGTTAACAAACAAAAAAAAAATTTTTTTTTCATTGCCCCATATCTCAGTTCTCGATGAATGAGGAGCATTAGTTTCAATAGACAAAAGGTGAAAATCGCTTCTACAGCATTGTTACCAAGTGTCATTCGGTTATTTTGCTGATGTTATAATCACAGATCATTGCTCTAACTAAAATTCGACTGGTTTAAACAGGCTTAAACTTCTTTAAAAATTTTGAGTCGCTTCGGACTATAACCACCAGGTGGTGCATGTGTTTAAAAATCGTGTATAAGTATACGTGCTCGTGAAGAAAAATAGAAATTCAGGAGCAAAGAAAAAAAATTTGTTTACACAGTGACTTATTTTGTACATGGTATTCGACACATACGTCACTTAGTTAGAGTTGGTCAAAGATCCACGAAAAATTAAAAAAAACCATAGNTCTTACAAAAATATTTAATAGGACCGTGCAAGTTTGGAATACACGGTGATCACAAGATTAGTCTATAATTATTGTTGTTTCTATTGCAAATGTCAATCATGTTCATGTTTTTTAAGGTATTTACTATTTTGTTCAAAAGTTTATCAATAAATCTTTGACGATAGTTGATAGCTAGTAAAAATTTATTGATTAATTTTAAATTATCGTTACGAAATTGAGTGTCTGCTAACTTAATGGAAAAGTCTACTAATGTGTAAATGATACCTATTTTATGTTGTATTGGATGGTGGGAGAAAAAATTCAAGTATCGCCCTGAATGTGTGGGTTTTTATGGTACCAACCGTACTGAAGAATATTTTGTAATAACATTTCTAATTACATTTGTAATTACACTTGTCAAGCCATTTGTAGTGCTACTTGGAATTCCACTTGGAATTATACACATGGGGTTTTAGAATGGAAATTACAAAAGTAGAATGCCAAGTGTTATTCCAAGTAGAATTACAAATAACAATTAAAGATGAATTTTTTTCTTTTTAAAATGGTTTTAAATATAATCGTACGCAGCGTAATGGCCGCAATTGGTGTGACCATCAGTATAGTAACACCAAACCAGGGGGATTCATTTTATTTTGAGAAAACTTGAAAAAAAAACAGAAAATTCGTTTTTCTCTAAATTCGTGAAAAAATACTTTAATCGCCCTGTTTTGGTGTTACTATACGGATGATAACACCTGTAATGACCATTACGCTGTGCACGATTCTATTATAAACTATTTAAAAAAGAAAAAAAAATTAATGACCTATCGTTATTTGTAATTCCACTTAAAATTACACTTGGCATTCTACTTGGAATTTCCATTCTAAAACCCCATGTGTAATTCCAAGTGGAATTACAAATGGCTTGACAAGTGTAATTACAAATGTAATTACAAATGTAACTACAAAATGCTTTTGATTAGGGAATTAGTTAGCACTGTGTTGTTTTGTTGAATAATAATTTTTAAATCTAAGAAACTATTGCTGTTGTTGTTGCATGTCTCAATAGTGAATTGTAATTCCGGACAGTAGTTGTTAAAAATGTTTTTCGTATAGTTAATATACTTAGTAGGCACACATTTGAGAATATCATCCACATACCACACGTTCAGTGGAACATCAAAACATAACTTCTCTAAGCATGAAATTTCAAGTCAACGCATTACAAGATCACACAGCACTCGACTACGGGGACTGCCCATTGGAGAGCCAAAAATTTGTTTATAAAATTTGTTGTTGAAATGGAAAAAAGTTGAATTCAACATCAAAGATACACCTGTGAAAAATTCATTGAGAGAAACATTGATTCTACCATTCAAGAATCTCCAAAAATGTGTCTTATTGCATCTATAATTAAGGTTTCACTAGTATTAGTAAATAAACTGACAACATCTGGACTAATAAGAGTGTAACCAGGTAAACTGATGAAATCTTTTAATTTATTTTTTAACTCATAACTATTTTTTACGTGTAATTTTGCCAGTAAAATATTCTTATTCAAGAAATCAGAAAGAAATTTTAAAATAATATAAGTGGGTAAATTCAGTGTCGAGACAATGATACGGATAGGTAAGTCTTTTTTGTGTATTTTTATTAGTCCGTAGCATTTAGATCAGTTTTTTTTACGAATATCTTTATTAAACTTATTTAATTCATCAAAAATACTGTATTGATTCCACTTGCTTACAAAATTTTTTGTATCTTTAATTAATTGCTTTAAAGGATTATTTTCTAGCTGTAAATTATTCATTATTTTCTAATGTCAAAAACAACAATTACAGTATCAATTGTATAAATAATGGAATTTCTGACATGAATGAAACATAAATCGTAAGAACTTTGGGCAAATTGTGGAAAGTCTGTACGACCTATGCAATGACCCAATATCGCAAAGAAAAAGTGAGAAGTGTAATGATTAAGCTGTATGAAATGCATTAATGGCTCTCAAATAAAAAAAAAAAAGAAGCATATGCTTGAAAATTTTTTTTTTGACATGTACAGGTTAGAATTCACTTTCGTTGAGAACTTCGAAAGCTTTTTTGTTGACAAGACAGCAGATTGGTTAACGCCCCTCTACTTCAAACTTACGCGATACGTGAGGCTTTTACGCCTTTTCTATATGTGACCACAAAGTGGCGTATACCTAACCTTCCTTACTCTTACGCGATACGCGATACGCTTTACGCTTTACGCGGTTCCATGTGCCCGAGCCCTTAGAGTTTCACATATTTTTTTTAAACCTTTGCAATATATTGATAAACACTGAAATGCAGAAATCGACTCCTGATGCCGATGTTGCCAAGAAGTTAAAAAAAAAATTGATAAACACTTACACCAACACAATTATCTGGGAGCATTTTGTTAATTTTGAAGTCGAAACCAATTTTTTCCTCTTCAAGCTTTGCCCGGCGTGAAGATCGTATACTTTCTGTTATTTTGGTAGTGCAAAAAATGATAACGTTCTACTTTGAAACTTTTTTTGTTAAGGAGAGTTTAACAATATTTATATTTATCTATAAATTACGGATTATTATACTTAATAATCATGTGCTATTTCACTACTTATTGTAATTTTGTCAAAATCAGACTACATTTAATAAAAATGTTCAAGTAGAAAATTTCGTTAGATACGTTGATTTGTGGCGTCTCACATCTCTCGTGCTTCAGGCTCTACTCGCCAGGTGGCCAAGCCCCTAATAATTATCTCCCGTCAAGCGGTGAAATTCCCGCANATTGCTATGTTGTGAGACAAACATCTGTCAGCTTAAATCCATACAAAGTAGAATTATCTGTAAGTACATTATTGCCTATGCTTGACAAATGTAGGTTATGGTAACATATACATAAATGTGTGCCACAAACTGCCATCAGGACTGTAAAATTTTCATGATAATTTTACTTATAATCAATAATAATAAAAAAATTTCCGTAGGTTAGGTACGAACTTTTGTCTCCTAACAGCCCTAATCCACAGCTCCTTCTGTTTTGTTTCATGGGGTCTACTTGGGAATTTATACAGCACCACCCCCTGCTTTTCTTTCTTGTTGCAATTAACAACGCAGCACTGTCTCGTACGCATGTCGTTACTTTGTAAACGTAAACACTGATTCAGATTATACAGCTAGCGGCAGCCTATGTCGACTGCTTGGAGTTCTTGCTCTCACGTATACAACATCACAGATAAGTATGTGTGTTGTGTACTATATGACAGATGATGTTTAATAACCCATTATTTAAAATTTTGGGCGATTTAAAGTGCCTAGCAAAATTATTTATCCGTATTATAGACCCAGTTTGGCTAAATAACATTTTTTTTCCGCCTTTGATTTCTCAACTAATTACTTTAAATGAAATAATATCTTTTCCGCCCTCGGGTGGTTTTGGGAGGCTGGTACTTCCTCGGGCGAAAAAGCAGTTTTCCAGAACTCGTTCGAAAAGTCTCCTTCACGAACCTCGTTACGTCTCTCGCCTTCGGCTCGGGCTGCAAACCTCTCGGTTCGCTAACAAAGACTTTTTAAACTCGTAGGAAAACTACCATTTCTCATATAAGACAACGCTTACTGTACGATTCATGGGGGTACGGGTTCGCCAACTTTGCTCACCTACAGCGCTGCAGTCGTTTTTTTTATCCCCTCCAACCTGATGCACGGAGCGAACAATATCTCTATGAACGCGATACGCTTTACGCTTTACGCGGTTTCATGTGCCCGAACCCTTATGGGGACAATTTTATCCTGCTCGCTCTATTGTGCTCCATGTGACTGCAGCCAGTGCAGTCTAAGAATACCAAAAAAGATTCTGATCATTGTGTTCACAAGAAATGGTATGGTATAAGATTCACGTGGATTATGGATGTAAATCAGCCTGCATTCCTTGTTTTATGTATTTAGTTTGCAATACAATGTTTTAGGTATGTACTAAGTTTTTGATTAGGTATTCTTTAGTTTTGAAGTAATTTTAATTATTAATGAGTACTAAATACAAATATTACGAAAATTCAATTTAAAAACTGATATGTGCTGCTTCATTTTTTTTTGCTCATTGAATTTAATTCTACTTTGAGTTTTGTTCACCTTATTGCAACTATGTGCTCATCGTCTTAGAAATATAGGTCAATGTGTGGATCAGTAATTTCTTGTATCTAATCAACTTGAGGAAGAAACTTGGGAGTCACCCGAAAAAAAAAAAAAAAACAAACAAGCAAATTGTTAGTGAAATTATGTAGTGCTTTCAAAATGTATTTAAATTACTAGTAGCTGTGTCATAACATATGTTGTACCATCTACATATGGGGAATATATGTTAAAAAGCTCATAAATAATCAAATTCTTTTTTTCATCACAAACTTCCTAATACTCAACAGCTGTTAAATGGTGGCTCGTCTGCATGTCTTATATTTATTTAATGACTTAGCATTTTTCTATCTGCGTAACCAAATAACCAGGAAGAGCTTGCATTTCCCCCAGCAGTACGAGATACTGCTAACGTAGCTTAAACTAGAGATAAAGATGATGAGTATATGAGTCACTTTATTATTTTTAGTCATGCACCATTTTTTTTGCTACTTCAATTGTTGACTGTGCAGAATTGTACATAATTTATTAATAGATTGATTTCTAATCCTTCTAGTTCGAGTGCAGTTACTCTATGTGTGTAAAGGGCAAAAAAATGGAAGTTATGAAAATCTTTATCTAAACTTATTGTTCCATGGAGATTAATTACATTGATTTTAAAAATCAACACCAAAATTACATCAGCTTCCAAATTTGCTCTAAATATGTAATCCGTAACAACAAAACATAGTTATTAAGTAGAAAATTAATTATTGCTCTGTGGTATGAAGCATCAAGGCTAAATAAAAACATGTATTTGGACATTTGTAAAACATTTGTATTCAATGTGGTATTATCAATATTTTTTTATCATTTCAACTTTTTTCAGATTTACAGTTAATCTATTAACAAGAAAAGCTACTATTATTAATCAAGAAACTGTGAAATTGCAGAGTTTATGTTACTGTTAAGGGCATTCAGTATATCATATAAAATTTCTACTCTACCGACTTTTAATAATAAGAGATTATTGTTGCTAACTAATTATATAACTATTTAAACCCAAAATGACGAGAAGAGCCCCCAAGCTGGTACTTTGAAAAATCAATCAAGCCTTAATTCAATACAATCTGTTGCGAACTAAGAGAGAAAAGTTACATTTCAAATTGTGTACACTGACCCACTCGTTTATGATCACGAAATGTAACTTTCCTCTCTTAGTCCGCAACAAATTGAATTGAATTTTGGCTTGATTGATTCTTTAATGTACCAGCTTGGGGGCTCTTTTCATTATTTTGGGTTTAAATAGTTGTATGATTAGTTATAAACAGAAATTTCTTATTACAGGCAAGTCGGTGAGGTAGAAATTTTATATGATGTACGGAATGCCCTTAAAGAGTTAATTAATAAAAAATTTATCAGTACTTCACAACTACATTTTTCTAAAACTATTCAGGACAATGCAACGTTAGTACATATTGAAGTTGTATTTCTAATGTCATTTGTAGATATGCAGACAGTAAGAGTTAATAAAGTGTCCCAACTTACTGAGGATTACCAATCAGTCATATATATATTTTATATTATAGTGCCCTACATCCGGCTCCTTTAATAAGGGCACCAATATAGGCACTTGGCACTTGGGAAAGGGACAAGGTAAGGGATGGGAGGCCTCCTATTACTGGGAGGGGGGTATGGGGAAATTAGGCAATTTAGGTCGCCTAAACCTTCCTCGAGGAGCATTGCGTGGTGAAAAAGCACATGTGAGAATCACAGAGGTACTTGACCAAAAAGTCGCACTGGCCAGGAATCAAACCATGGTCTCCCGCGTGCCAATCCACGACCTAGCCAACCAAGCCACCGCGCGCTCTATGTATATATATATATATATATATATATATATATATATATATATATATATNTATATATATGTATGTATGTATTTTTTTATTAGATTATGGTGCTCTACGTCCGGCTCTCTTGTAGAGGCACTACTTAGGGCACTTAACACTTGGGATTGAGAGGAAATTGGGATGGGATTGGAAGAAAGGAGGGGCCCTAAGTACTGCTCCACATTCGCCCATGACGTTTTGTCAAGTAGATAAGAAAAACCCCGGGGAATCTCCCGTAGAAAAAACCTGATCCGGAAACAGCCCGGTCTATCTGCCTTACTTCTGACCTGGTGTCCAAGCTGCAGACTTAGACAATGGGTCAGAAATTTGGCATACCTTCCACTTACGATGTCAAAGAGCCAGATAAACAGTCAACCAACTCACTAAGCGAACAGCAGCAGTGCTCCCGAAAGTGGCATCCAAAGAAGCGCAAAATTTAAATTGGCTATATGGAGCGAAACGGTTAAACCGACATAAATCAACAGAATTTCTAACATACTAAATAAAACAACCCCAAGCTAATCAACCCAATAACACATAGCTATTAAACCCAGCATCCCGTAACGCCCACTGGCCACTTTAAAATTTTATGCTGTAAATAACAACAAAAGCACAATAACCACACAACACGAGGCGCTTACTGTTCGCTTTGTGAATTAATATAAGAAATAAGATAACACAAATGCCAATTACCAGAAAACCTAAGCCGCTTCCTGGTCGCGTGGTTAATTAATAAAATAAATAAAATAACACAAGCGCCAATCACCACACAACCCGGTGCGCTTACTGGCCGCTTTGTTTATTAATGCAATAAATGTAATAACAGAAGAGCGAATCACCACACCACCCGGGGCGCTTACTGGCCGCCTTTTTGATTAATAAATTGAATAAAATAACAAGAGTGCCAATCATCACACAACCCGAGGGGCTTACTGGCCGCTTTGTTTATTAATAAAATAAAAAAAATTTTACTAGCGACAATCACCACACAACCCAGAACGCTAACTGGCAGCTTTGTTAATCAATGAAATGAATAAAATAACAAAAACGCAAATTATCACACTTTCCGGGGTGGTTACTTGCCGCTTAGTTTATTAAATAAACAAATAAATAACACAGGCACCAATAGCCACACAACCCACGGTGCTTAGTGGTTGCTTTGTTCATTAATTAAATAAATTCAAAGACACCAGTGCCAATCACCAGACATTTGGGTGCGCTTACTAGCCGCTTTGTTTATTAGTGAAATAAATGAAATAACATAAACGCCAATCACCACACAACCCAAGGCGCTTACTGGCCGCTTTGTTTATTAATAAAATGAATAAAATAATAAAAGTAGAAATCACCAGATAACCCGAAAGGCTGCCCGGCCGCTTTGTTTATTAATAAAATGAAAAAATTTTACAAGCGACAATCACCACACAACCCGGGGCGCTNACTGGTTGCTTTGGTAATTAATATGATAAATTCGAAGAATCAAGCACCAATCACCTAACAACTCAGTACGCTTACTGGCTGCTTCGATTATTGCTAGTTTATAAATTAAATTAATTAGTAACAAAAGTACCTATTACCACAGAACGTGGGTTGCATACAGGCCGCTTTGTTTAATGACAAAAAAGAAATAATAACAAAAATGCAAATTACCATACCACCAGGGGCGCTTACTAGCCACTTTGTTTATTAATAACATAAACAAAATGACACAAGCACCAATTAGTACACAACCTGGTGCGCTCACTGGCAAGCAGTTTATTAATGAAATAAATAAATAACATAAGCCTCAATGTATACACAACCTGGTTCGCTTACTGGCTGCTTTAATTATTTTTAAAATTAAAAAATTACACAATTAACTACAACCACACAACCCAAGGCGCTTTCTGGCCGCTTTGTTTGTTAATAAAATAAATAAAAAACTACAAGCGCTAGTTACAGCACAACCCGAGGGGCTTACTGGCTGCTTTGTTTATTAATAAAATGAATAACATAACACAAGCATTAATCACAACAAAACACGGTACGCTTAGTGGCCGCTTTGTTTATTGATAAAATAAATAAAATAACAAGAGCGCAAATCACTATACAATTTGGGGCGCTTAATAGACGCTTTGTTTAGTGATAAAGTAATTAAAACAACTTAAGTGCAAATCACCACACAACCTAAGATGCTTACTAGTTGCTTTTGTAATTAATATAATAAATTCAAAGAGACAAGCATCAATCACCTCACAACCCGTACGCTTACTGTCTGCTTTGATTATTGCAAGTTTATTAATAAAATCAATTAGGAACACAAGCTCCAATCACCACAGAACTCGAGTTGCGTACTGGCCGCTTTGTTTATTAATAAAACAAATATAATAACAAAAATGCGAATTATAACACCACCTGGGTGCGTACTGGTTGCATAGTTAATTAATATAATAAATTTAAAGACACAATCATTAATTACCGAACGACATGGTACGCTTACTAACCACTTTGTTTATTAATACTATAAATAAAATTAAACAAGTGACTATTATCATACAACCCAAGGCGCTTACCGCCTCCTTTATTTATTAGCCAATCATCCTACAACCTAGGGCGCTTACTGGTTGCCTTAGTAATTAATATATTAACACCAAAGACGCAAGCACTAATTACCACACAACCCTAGGCGCTTACTATCTGCTTTGTTTATTAATAAAATGAATAACATAACACAAGCACTAATTACAACAAAACCCGGTACGCTTAGTGGACACTATGTTTATAAATGAAATAAATAAAATAACACGAGCGCAAATCACTATACAACCTGGGGCCCTTACTGGCCGCTTTGTTTAGTGATACAGTAATTGTAACAACATAAGCTTTAATTATTATACAATCTGGGGCGCTTACTGCTTGCTTTATTAATTAATATGATACGTTGAGAGACCCAAGCACCAATCACTACACGAGCCGGTGTGCTTACC